CAACTTCACACAGTACTTCAGATTCTTGCCACCTCCTGATCTCTTCTATGATAGATCAAGGCTCATCCTTTCTAACCATCCCCTGCTTTGTCTAGTGTCAAACCCACTTCTCAACTCTCAAACTTTCCCTACCCTGTGCCTTACTGTCTTAGTGTGACGACCTCCTCCAGTACATCTCTCCTACTGTCTCCTCTCCTTGCCCTCCTCTCAGTATAATCCTCTCATTCATCCTGACTCCCTCACACCAATCCGTGCCACTCTGCACCTATGTTATCCACCATATATCTATACAGCAATCCCCACTTCCCATTGATGACATGCATACTGCTCCCCAATGCTCTTCTCTCTGAAACTCTAAATGCTGTAATTGATTTTTGACTTATCATTTAACATCCCAGATATTTCTCTCCACCAGAAATCCTAGGTCTATTCCTTATCCCTTCCTTTTTTATTTACTGTTTAATAACTTTCTGTTTTCCTTCTATCTAGATCCATTTGAGGTCCAGGGCAGAGCAGGTTGTGATCTGAACCCTGGGAGGCTCCAGTAAATTACACTGAGGGGAGATTTAGGAGGACTGGATTTCCTGAGCATCCAGAATCATTCATGTGCACCTGCCCCAGAGGACAGCAGGAGAGCAGAGCAGTTTTGTACACTACTTGGTCAGTACCAAGAGATCTGTAATACCGTGGAGAATCTCCTCTATAAAGCCTGCCCCCAATTTCTCTTGAGTGTTCTCATTGCAGGAAAGGTGGATCTGCAGAGGCAAAGTTCATCCCACTCTCTCCCCAAAGTGTTTCTATGTCACTGCTAACTCTCTCTTTTAAACTTCTGGACAGGAGTAGAAAGTTATCCAAGAGGGAGAGGAGCTTAGTGGATAAAATATTTGGTTCCCAAAGGAATGAAAGGGGTCACAGTCCAAAACTGTGGGGGTCTGAGTCTCTATGTTCTGGACAGGAGTCCTAATCTGAACACTCTCCCTGCTCCAGAAAAGCCTGATCCCCGGCTGTCCAGTGGCCTCTCTCCTGGTCCTGGCCGTCTGCTGCTGGTGTGCTATGTCTCAGGATTCTACCCAAAGCCTGTGTGGATGATGTGGACGCGGAGGGAGCAGGAGCAGCTGGACACTTGGCGAGGTGATGTCCTGCCCAATGCTGATGGGAGCTGGTATCTCCGAGTAACCCTGGATGTGGCAACTGGGGAGGCGGCTGGCCTGTCTTGC